TTATTTTTTTAATTTATAGAAGGGAGTACAAATTTAGTTAGTTTGGAGGAATTCATTTTAGCTCGTTATTGCAGCAAAGATTATTTGTGTTAGAAAAGGAAAGTGGATTTGAAAAAGCTCTACAAATAGCACTATTTGCAGAATAATTGTATCATATCAGATGGATATCGAAATATTTACGCGCAGAAATCTCAAAATCTACAACATACCTAAAATTTAGGAGGGCTATATACCAAAGTGTGCACTATTTTTAAATAAAAACCATCACGAGAAAGCAATGAGAAGAACCACTGAATTTGAAGGAAATACTCCTCGTTTTTACAACCCTCATCCCAATAAGCAAACATCAGTATGAATCTTGGCAATACTATTGGTTAGTATTTTGAGGAGTTCTGATAGCTATATAGCTATTTTGTCTTCATATCAAGCAAATCTATATAATAAAAGGAATAGAATTTTGATAAGAAAGAAGGAAAAATTGAGTATCTAGAACTAATTTTAAGCTAACAGTTAGTATCCTCAGAGTAAAGTTGCCTTGATTGGCTCCATATGTAATAAAGGTGAGCATATCAAAATGGTTATAGGCCCAAAGAGATAGACGTAGTAATAATAGAGGTTTCTATACAGTTATGGTCTCCAATAAACCAATTTAAGCTGTGGAGAATTAGTAACAAATTATAAATTATCCAATGCCAAGGAGTGTTTAAAAACTACTCTCTAATCTTAAATCAGGTTTGCAGAATAAGAAGTAGGGCATGCATTCCAATGTGTTTGATTTTGTGAAACGATATATTCTCACTAAACTCAACATTTAAGAGGTCGACAGCTAAGAGGATGTTTAGATTGCTTTTCAAGAGCTAATTGGTCCTAAATGCTTAGTTAGATTCATTGTTGCATTATAATTGAATTGAAGATATCATTTTGCTATGTTTATGATTGGAGAACTGTACATCCCTTCAATAAGCAATAAGAATTTGGGAAGCGAAAATCATCATGATAATCATATTCTACAATTTATTGAATATTCTTTTTCAGATTCTATAACTATGTTTCTTGTTCCCTATAAAACCTATTTTGTTTTCTAACAAAAATAAGAATTCATGTGATTTTTCTAAAACTAAACAAAAGATGTTAGTCAAAAGATCTTAGGTAATTTTAATAAAAAAATTTAAATAAAATGAAGTAATTAATACCAGTATACAAATTTTTACTTCAAATAGAGAAACTACTTGTTCAAAACAATAAATTTCACTTTAAGAGATTTGTTATTTCATTCATATCCCAAAATAAGAAATAAAAATAAATTATAGTTAAATAAAAAAAGGTGATAGTCTAATAAGAAGGAATATAAGAAGAGCTTAGAATGGTAATATGCTATTGCAAATGTGTACAACTACTTTAGGCTAATATAGTTAAAGATTACTTTTTAATGAATTTTTACCCTAAGGTAAACTCAATTGATTTCATTATTAATGGAAAATTGATAAATATAAAACCTAATTTAGATAATAGAGATTTGATTATCAATAGAACTCTGATATACAATTAGAAAAACTAGACTAAGTCTTTGCTCGGATAGTTAGTAATAAGAAGCTAATTTAGCTGATTATGAGTACAATCCTGCTGTAAACTATTTATTTTACCAATTCTATAGAAGTCGAAAATAAAACCAAACTTGAGAATGAGTTTTTTAGAACTTTACAAGCTTAATATATTAGTTAAGATAAGTTAGAAACTTTGAAAGATCTAATAAATCTGAGTAGGGGGATCATAATTATTTGAATTCAGAACTCATAAAATCGATAAGAAAGGTTAATTATAACCTATACCCATTAATCCAAGCGCACTTTTATATACTATAATATTAAGATTCAATAGTTTTCTTATTTTTCATCACTTAAAAACATATATATTATATTCAATTTAATAGAGGTAATAGAGATGAGCAGTAATAGTTCTTAATAACTAGATGACCAGTGGGAATTAATAGGGCTGGGAAATTTAATAAAATCATAATTATTTATAATGGATAAGGGAATATGTTCTAATCAAATGCTTTTAGGATTCGATTGAAGTATTGTAGTCTTAGTAGTTTTTTCTCTAAACTTTTTCACCATACAAAAATTTGAGACCTTTTTTTATGGATGGTAATAAATTGAATAAATGGATTAAAGAAATAAATAAGTTATCACTTTTAGATGGCTTCTTTATTACCAAAACCGACTATATTTTTAGTCTCACTAAAAAAATAGTTAACAACATAAAATTAAAGGAACGAATTTAGAAGAATAGGTATTAAATTTATTTTTGAAT